GTCAACAGAACTGTACAGATACAGGCTCAGAGGAAGTCAACAGGACTGTTACAGTCACACGGTTTTGATTCTGTGTTACAATCACTGTAAGAGGCTGTTAATAATTGGTATGTGAAACATTTTCCTTTATTCCATTCAGATGTTTGTAATTGTATGGAAGATTCTGAGTTTATTTGAGCAGTTCTGTGTGTCTGCTACTGAACTGCACTGGAAGCTGACCTGGGTAGCGAATTCACGGTGGAATGGATTGGCTAAGGTGTTTTCATACACTGGAGGCTGTACACAGAGGGCTGCCCCCGCAAGAGGCCAGCATGTGTGAGCTGTGGATGAAGAGAAGGAGGCAAAGGGGGAAAACAGCTCCCCAGGCCTCCACACCTTGTGTGGGGCTGTGCACTACATCTGCAAGCACAGGATTGTCACCTCTACCCATTCCCACAAGATAGCCTTAACTCTGTAGCATCTGTAGTCCAGGAAGAGCTGATGCTTCATGCTCCGTGGATAGTGTTCAGGTGGGAGCTGGAGAATCCTGCCCGGGAAGCTGCTGTATTTCTGTCCTGTGACAGTACTGGGGGGATTCTCCGCCAGACCCGGCTCCTGCTGTGGTCCGTCAATGCCGTGACTGGACAGAATGCCTTTGAAAGGAAAAAGAGCTAAAGAGGCAGCATAAATGGAGACACACTGGATATGAATTTGTAGAAAACACAACTGACTAGAGGAGCCTGTTCTAACTTGTCTATTATAAATGTCCAGGTCTATGGCTGACTTGTTTACAGTGTTTTAAGCCAGGAATATTCTGCATTAAGATGATCAAGGAGGAATCCCACTCAGTCCCTGGTGGTCTCTCATCAGCCTGCGTGCCAGTAGTTCCCATGGCCAGGACCCCAGGGACACTCAAGGACTGCCCAGGCTCGACTCCAGTGTACCCAGGGGCCTGGACAGAGCAGCTGGTCAGATTGCTCTCCACAGCTGCTTCAGTCTGGGGTTCCTTAGAGACTCCAGATTCCTTCTCCATTCGCAGTAGGATTCTGCAGGCACGTTCCTGGACAGAACCTGCTCTCCTGGTGGAATTACGTCGGAATGTTTTAAGCGGGCTCAAATGCAGGTAGGGATGGGGGATCCTCAGAGGTGTCAGCACGATCAGCGGAGCTCCCTTAGGGTTGGGGTACGGTCAAATACCTGGGCAGAAGAGTCCCCAATCCCCCCCCCCGCCCCCGCCCGCCTGCCTGCATTGTACAAGGAGTCAAGATCAGAGAATCATACTTCCACACACTTCAGGCAATAACAGTACTGCTGATATTCTTCAAGAAAATATTTCTATTTTCTGATATTCATTAGTATGTAATTAAGGTTTTCCAGCTTGTTTTTAACTAGATCTTGCCCAGGTCTTGAAGGTGTATTTGTGCACAATATTCAGGCCCCATTGCATCAAATACTGTAGCTTCTATTGCAGAGCGCCGTGTGACAGTGTTGCATAGTGGAGGGCTGGCCAGATTGTCTGGCAGGTTTCGTAGGTGCCATTTAATCCACCCTAGCTAACCAACCGATAGCCTTGCGCTTTTACCAGTAAATATTAGGTTGCTTTTGGTCCTTCTGATCTCGTTTGGAGAAAATACACTGGTCGAGGGCTGACGCTGACCAGCCCAGCTGGACAGTGCACCACTTGCAATTAAGCCCAGGACTCCAGGAGAGAGTGAGCTGCTGTTTCTTTTCTTTACACAGGACTCGCAGTTACAGTCACAGACTGGAGGATTGGCAGCTGTCCACATCTGCTAATGCAAATGGGGTCTTTACTGCTACTTATTAGCATGAATTGCTGCCCATTAGCCTTTGAAAGGATACCTCTGATAAAGACAATTTAGCAAACAAGGCTTGTTGAGCTACTGTAGGTGATTAGCATTTTCAGTGAACTGTGCCCGTGCTTCCCTCTGCTGCTGTACCTGCTACTCCATGAGTAATGCAGCAACATCTCGTTTCACTCCAGAAAGCCCAAAGCCTCAGCTGCACTCACCTGGTGTAGGTTTCGAATGCTTTTTGATACTGCTGTGCGAAACTCTTAGACATCTGACATTAGACACAATCAGCGGATACAAAATCAATAAGTAATGAGCATCAACGATTTGCCCAGTTTATCTGGCAGTTCTACCGAGTTTTGACTTATTACTACAGCTATCTTTGGGTGAACAGATCGTCTGAGACTTTTCTCACAGCAGTGCTCGTTAGTGAAAGCGTCTCGTTGGACACTTCCCCTTATGGAACTTAACGTGTTGATATTGTACATTTACTCAACGGATTGATTCCAAATGTGTTAGACATGTATATCTAGATGCATATACCATTGAGAGGAAAAATTATAAAGCCTCTTAGAAATATGATTTCATATAAAGTATTGGAATGTTAAAAGACAGGCTCAGACCAAAACAGTGAGGAGATTTGTATGTGTGTGTGTATACACTGCTTTATATATGAAAACTGTTCTGCTTTAAAGGTCCACTTCCCCTTGCCTAATAGGACTGACACTCTATTCATGCCTTACTGAGACACCTGCTGGGGAGACTGCAGGACTGCAAGTCCAGTGCCTGCTTTCATTTTTCTTTTCAGGTGTGGAGAATATCACTCACCCCTCCCCCTCACTTTCTTGATCTCTTTCACTCATTCCTGTACAGCCTCTCTGCCCAGACACGGGGGTCATGCAGTAGGAAAAAAAATAGCTAAATAGCTATAGCGTGCCAAGTCTGAACATTGACTTTACTTAGTGTATGTGAAATACAGCTTAAAAAATGTGAAGTGTTGAGCTTTTGGGAGAAGCAAGGAACCATTAACTGCTGTGGTTAAGTGCTTTCTACATAGTGACAGAGATAAATAAGAGCATGTTCTGCGCATACTATATATATAGCAGATGTCAAGCCCCAATATGGTGTGCACAAAGGCTCAGACATAGCTACAGAGCAAACTGTAAAAGTGTTGAGTAGTTTAACTGTGAAATGCACTTTATTTTTAACAGAAATGGCACAAAAGATTACGTATCTGCAAAATTAACAAATGATAATCAACCTGCACTAATCAAGACATTGTAATTACATTGTGTGTGTGACAGTGGTGTATATTTTTTGCAGCGTGTTTGTAATTTTTAATTGCTTTGGATAGTACGATGACTTCTGAGATATTGTTAATTTTGTATGAAACAATGTGCTGTGTATTATAAATAAACCTTTTTTGTTTTTTACATAAGGCACTGGGACTGGGCTGTTGCCTTCCCTTTCAGCAGCCTGAGTTTTACGCAAGTCTGACACACGGCTAACTGGATGCAGTATGTTCTACAGAAACAGCATGCATGCATTATTAAACACTTAGCAAAGCCAGGCAAGAAGTGTTCTTTCCCTACCACCTACCTGCTTCCACAGTACACGTGTTCAGCAATGTTATTAATGTGAATAGCTTTACTAGATAACTGCACTAAACCACAGATGGGTCAAGCAATGATTCCCAGCCCAGGTCCTGGAGGAACAATGGCTGCTGGTTTACACTTTCAATCAACATGTTCCTGAAGTTTCATGGTCAAAAATGTTCTACTTCAAGGGAACAGTTTTCAACACTGTCAGCACACAGAACTTCATGTGTACTCTCCACAACCTGCTGTCTATTATTCCTGACTAAACGGCTAAACTCTTTGTTCACTGAAGTCTTATCTAGTTCATCAGCTGATGATGAACAGACGCAGGTGGGTATGATAACTTTATCAAACACATCAGTAGGCTCACCACTGTTTCAGACACACCCACAATAAGTGCGACACTAACCAGCACAACTATACGAGGTACATCCAAAACGAGTGTTTTTTTCCTTCTGCAGAGGTCCAAGAGATCTACACAAGGGCAGTTTCGAAACTCAGAATTGGTTCAGGGATAATACCAATTACATATCTCATTTACGTTTTTAAAAACTGAAAGCACATTTTATAGATGGGCCACAAATTGGAAACAAATACAATTACCCTGTGATAAAGAACACAGCTGGATCAAACAGCCAGAAGAGGCAGTGACCAGGACCGGGAACCGCTGGCCTAGAGCACAAACACTGAAATGAATTTCAATTCGGAGAGGAGTACCTATTAATACAAGACAGTGGTTCAGGCAGCTGCTTCTCTTGTCCTCTTGCAGACAGGGTGGATCTGCTTCATGCAGAGGGCTGTCAGACCTGCCATCATCCAGCTCAAAACAAAGTGGCAGCCGAGCACAACCGACAGATCCACATTATGGACATACGCTGACATCTGAAATTCAAATGCGCTCCTTAGCTTCCTCTGGGCGATTGTACTGCTTTGTCTAAAAGCTGAATTATCCAGGTCAGATGGAAAGATATATGCCAATTTGACATTTATGAAGAGCTGGTCTGAATAATTGTTTTTTTTTATAGCCTCACAGTAAGGGGTTGTTTTCCGCTCATTAAGTTTTCTAAGCCTTGGATAAATGCAACTAAAAGTATTTTATTTTTCCATCGAGTGTTTTTTTTGTTTGTTTCATTAGATACTTATCAACTAGCTCAGTGTGCATCTCCAATAGAAGCATAATGAGGGGATGGCTAACAGAGTACAGAGCAAAAGACACCAAGTCTCGTCCTCCACGGAGACAGTGAAGTTGAGCAGCTGTAATAATCTGTGCTGGAAGCTGTCCCATTCAACCCAAGAGATTGATGGTAACCTAGGAGCACCGCAGACAAACAGGAAATGGAGACATCTATTTTTAATCTATCAAATTACTCTAGTAATATTTTGTACCCTCTTGTGCTGTTTCATTGTGGGGAAAATCTGTCTCCCTTGGGGCACAGAGGCAGGACAGTCACTCTTGTTGTCACACAGCCCGAACAAGAAACTGCGCAGGACACACACACACGACACAGGAGAATTAGAACTGGGATTTATTTCACACGAGTCGCTCGTACAGATCCAGAGCCACACCGACCTCAGAACACAGAAGCTGCTGACCTCACGGTTTCACAGGTGACAGGTGAAAAGCAGATAAGCAGAAAATGAGATCGGTTTCATGGTATTTCTCTCAGGCTCGTACTTCAGTAGGCTCCCGTTATTAAGATGGTTAAAATTTCACCACCTGTAAAATACAGTAAGGACAACCTCCAAAAAGTTCAGTCGCCTGCACAAACTTTGCTCCAGTTTTAACTATATTTAAGTGGAAAATCAAATCTTTTACTTCTCCTTTGCTCTTTATGCCACCTGTGTTCTCTTGAGATACATTTCCATCTCAGACTTTTTTTAAATAAACGTGCACAAAGTGGGAGCAAATTTTGCTGCAGACCAACCAGTTTTGGAAATTCTCCTTTGGGCATTTACCATCTGCTGTTGCTGTTCACGAGCTCCTGGTGATGCCCAGCAGGGCTCAGGATGAGCTGGAAAGTGGGCAGGAGAATCCAGGGACTCTCTGGATTCGGCTGGAACAGCACTGGAAAACTCAGCTGGATTTTTCATTTCTTATCCAGTCCCAAATTCCACTAATTTTATATCTTCAACTAATCATCAAGAGAAGAAAATGAACATAAATGCCAACCAAGGCCTAAACAAAAAGCAGATCCTTTTCTTTTTCCATCTACAAAAGCATAAACAAAATAAATTTTAATACTTAATGCCTGTCAGAGCTGTCATGACTCTATAATCTTCAGAGAATCTTGGAATATAAGCACAAGAAAACCCTATTTTAACTTGTTGCATTGCTTGAATCACAAGCTTAAATTTCAAAATCTCTGAAACATCTTTTTACACAACATCAAAGAAGCAGTTCCCCCAGCTTCAGAAAGCTATTATGTGCACACACCTACTACAGTATATATAGTGCATTTTCCTGAACTGGAAGAATGTGCCATAACTCAGCCCTGTTTCTTTACTGTAAATGATCCACTGGCACGTGCCACAATAAATTAACAACTTAATGGCATCAGAAGATTCTTTTGCCATTTATAAAGGGATCTTACATTTTCATAAACAGCACAATGCCCATCATTCCAAGAACACAAGCAACTGAGTGGAGCCAGTTCTTTAAAAAGAAAATTTTAGATTTTGAAAGAAAAATACATTATCTGATTTGTTACTTTATTTGGATTATTAGTGGGATTTTTTGTCTGTGTTACTTGATTTAGGTACAAACAACCTCCACTACCTTCTGTAAGCAGCAGCTGTAAAGCTGGTTATGATTGTCTTTCCCAGCAAAAACCTAGGATCCCTCACACTATCTTCTAATTTACACCACATCGCCTTTAAGCCCCCGAAGCAGGGAATCTGACAGCAGGAAGACTGGTCTCATGACTAAGCATGGGTGCCAATACTCCCCGACAGACCTCCATGCACACAACTTCATCATGGCTTTCACTGGGTTTGGTTTCGCAAACACACCACCTTGTCCATCGGCGACAAGTTTGTGAAAGCAAAGCCACACCGGTGTACCGGCTCTCCAGATGGGGATGTAAAACATCTTTCAATTCAACATGGAGCGCAAAGAAAGACGACACCGATAGATTACTTAAGCAGCTCAGCTCGTCATTGTTCGGACAGAGGAAAAAAGGAACCGTACAATAAATGAACAACGTATTATTCTATTCAGTGACTATTTAAGATATGCTACTATCTTATAACATTAGATCAGAACCTTTCAGGATGCCGACAGGTATGCCTGGGGCCCAGCAGAGCTAACGCTTTCACTTGCAACATCTGTTAAAAGCCAACAAGTAGCACATGGTTTGTGGTTAGCAGAGGAAACCAAGACTATTCTAGTGCTGAATTCACACCTGTCCGGCAGCGTTCAGACATCAGGCTCACAGGGAGTGCGACGGAACTGTGGTATAGAAGTTATCATCAGACAGCACTTAAGATCACAAGCTCATGAGCATTGGACCAGGGGCAAATAAAACAGAAACCTGCTGGATTAACATTTTAAGTAGTGCTGTGCTTGGGGCTGACAACATCCGATAATCCCCAGACATGCCAATTTGTGCTTTAAATGACAGATTATGATGAGATGGAGCAACACCCCTGAAAGGGCCATCTAGAGTTTGCATCGAGTAGCTTATAGTGCTTATATGGTATTTCCGCTCGCTCCCAATGAGGTGCTGTTTCAAGCTGTGAAGCAAGCAGCAGAATCACCTCTGGGTCTCATGGATCCCAGTGCTGATCTGGCAGCAGGGTCCAGTGGGGACTCTCCACCAGCCAGCCTCCGAGAAGGCTGTAGGAGGGCCTGCATCTGCGAGCATCACCATAACCAACAGTGAGGCCCGTTAACTGAGCCGTCTTATCCATTTCAGCAGATCTTTTATGAGCTGCCGACTCACACATACCATAGTGAGCACACAATCCAATACTGTGCATAGTTAACAGCAGAAAATGACATGTCCATGGTACTGGGTATTTCATGCCTGCTACCTAATCGCATGTAAAAACAGTCTGCCAGTGTTTGTGAAACTTGAAATGCGGTGCAGCGAGAGTCGTCTTCTCACTGCTGAAGAAACCCAGCCACGAGGAGCTGTTTTTCCCCTCTCTCCTGCAACGTTCAGATTGCACCCGCATTCATTTATCGAGAGTCGGCATGAGCAGAATCGTCGTAATGCAGTAGAACACAACATCCTTGTTCTTCCCAGGAGAACCAGATTTCAATCAGACTGAACCACTCGAGAAGATCTCCAATATCTTACAGCTGCTTGACTCGTTAAGTGTCTCAGATACGGGCTCTGCTGTTTGACGCGTCTGTGTGCGAGACAGCGGTGACGCAGGTCAAAGCCCAAACCGCACCCCAGTTTCCTCCGGGGTGTGCTCTTCGGTCAGTGTAGGGGTGTCACGCGGTGCACCGGTCAGCTGCCGAGGGGGTGACGGCGGTGGTAGACGGTGGGGGGGTGTCCGGCCATCCGGGGGAAGGGGCGGCGTCAGTCGGACCACTCGTTATCATCCAGCTCCGAGTCGTCGTCGGAGTCGCTGTACTCCACGGCGATGCGGCGGGAGAGGATCGTCGCCACGTCGTTGCCCACGGGCTCGCGCTTGGCCTGCTGCTCCTGCTGCTCCTGCACCTTCTTCAGCTGGATACCTGGCACACACACACACACACGGCACAGAGAGCACACGCGGGGTTGGGCACTGGCATGGAAGACACCTGGGATCTCGGCGCAAACTAGGAGACCGTGTCTGACCGGCTCGATGACTCCTGCAGCCATCTGTGCAGGCCTGCTGCAAGATACTGCCATAGGTGACAACACACAGCCCACCCCTGCGCAGGGCAGAGGGGTTGTGCTCCTCCAGAGCAGAGCGTTCTGGAAACCCACATCAGAGGAACACCCCTTGTGTGGTAAAGAGGGTCTGTGATCACAGCTGTGGACAAACCCGTGCAGCCCAGATACCTGTAGAGTTACACACAAAGGCGTGGCCCTACCCGAACTCAGCTGTGT